TGACCCTTTCCATCAGCTGTCCTTCCTATATCACCTCCCTTACTCTCTCTTCACTCCATCCAGCCTTCCCCACATTTCACTCTAACTACATATACTATATCTCCATACTTGGGGGACCCTTCAACCCTCCCTTAGGTCTTTACTCCATACATAACCACTCTGGTTATTTAGATAGTAGCATGCCTATTGAAGGCTTAAAAGCTCCAGTGCCTGGAATGAGCTCCATGCAATCAGTAGGGAAAGTTGCTATGCATGTTCCTAGAGGAGAAAGGTAAGCAACAACCCTGCTACAGATCCCTCCAATCTACAGCGGTGACCTACATGCAAGATATGTTGGTGCAATAGTGATGCAAATGCTGTGGGAGTAACCAACCTGGAACTCATTCTGTAGACCAGACTAGCCTCAAACTCATAGCGATCCACCTGCCTCTGCCTTCTGAGTGCTGAGACTAAAGGCATGAGCCACCACCACCTGACTCCTTCTGTATTTCTTACATTCACTGCTTCTCATATCTGGCTGTCAGCTGCCCAGTTTCTGGCATAGGCATATCCCTCTCTTTTTACCTCATTCTCTCCTCTTTCTTTTCCTGTTCTCAAGCCTAAATAACTCCTCTTATTTATTTTCTCTGCTTGCCAGGCCTGCCTATCAGTAGCTATTGACCATTCAGCTCTTTATTGGCCCAATTAGGTGCCTTAGTCAGACAAGGTGAAACAAATGCAATACATATTATGTAAAGAAACAAATGAAACATAAATAAATATAATACACATTTGTACAGCCAAAGTAATATTGTACAGCATAAACAAATATAACAGATGTTTGCCTAGTTCAAGTAATATTCTAGGACATTCTGCTCTTCTCATAGATCAGTGTCTTATTCATCCTTCTTTAGAGAAGCTTTCTCCTTCAGTAGACAGGAACTAATACAGAAACCAACAATCTGACAATATGCAGAAAGACCTTGGAACACTTACTCCTAAATGGTATGCCTTCATCAAATCCATACCCTCAGGACTCGGAGAACTATGCAGAAGAGGAGGCAGAAAGATTATAAAAGCAAGGGGGATGGATGGCACCAAGGAAACCATGTGTCCCAGGCACAACAGGAACTATGGACATATGAACTCACAGAGATTGTGGCAGTATGCATAGGGTCTGCACAGATCCAAACCACATGGGGTCTCAGCATTGTATCATATTGCTTTATTTTGGCTTTCTGATTTTTTATCCCATTGGTGTTTTTCCCATTGGTGTTTTCCTTGTATGTTATGATTTCTGGTTTTGAGCTTTTATGGGTTGTGTATGTGTGTGCACTTGTGCATATCTGCATGTGTATATATTTCCTCATACTCTTTCTTATTTTCTTTTTTATTATAGTTGTTGTTTAGTTTGTTCATTTTCTTTCATCCTTATTTGTCTTTTTGTTTTGTTTTTTTCTCAAGAGAAAGAGAAATAAGATGTAGAGTTGGAAGGGGAGATAGGGAGGGAGGATCTGGGAGGAAATAAGGGAGGCAAAACCATGTCAGAATATATTTACTAGAATAATCTATTTATGAAATATAAGATAAACCAATTAAATTATAAAATACCTTCCAAAATATAATGTAATTCTCTGTTACAATAATCTTTCCACCAAGAGCCACAGAGCTCCGCAGCCACATGTGCACTTTACGCCAGCCGCCCACCCAAGTTAGGGCCCAAATTAATACACAGAGAGATTTGTATTAGGTTCAAAGCTGCTTGGCCAATGACTAGGATTCCTCATCTGTTAGCTCAGTCTTAATTATCATAAATCTATATATTTTATAAGACTTATCCTATCGGATGCCTTATTGGCATCCCTCCTTGCCAGTGGCTCACATCCTGCCACTGGAGGAGGCGAAAGGGAGAAAGGGACCCTTCCTGTTTCTCCTTCGCTTAAATAGAGTCTTCTTGCTATGTCACTTCCTGCCTGGATCACCACTTCT